GATGAAAGAGTTGCCACTTTATGATATTAAAAAAAATTGTCCTCGTAGTTTTCAGCTATTTCAATACATACGATCCAAAAATACAAATGTTTCCTCTTTATAATACTAGTATAGATTACTATGTATGAGAGGTGAGAGTGGGAGAGAGATAGAGAGATATCGTATGAGATAATTTTTAACCTGTATATAAGTTTTCTTCTGACGGATCTTTTGAAAAATCCACTACAGCCGTTGCACGCGAGGATACCGTAGTGTTTGCCGGAGCTGGTGTCACCGCACACCACGCACACCAAACCTGCAACCAAAACATAATTAGTAAATGTTTCTAGAAAGAAAAAGGAGATTTAACAGTGGTAGAGCCCGAATCTTTGCACGAATGGGTTGGCTCCCCCGGTGTAAAACCACGACCACACAAACAGACGTAAAGTGGGAGAAATTCCGCGTACAGTTTGATGAGTGTGGTGCCGGAGGCCCAATTTTAGTCCCTTTCTCGTTCCACCCTCTTCTTACAAGGAAAAGATTCGATGGAAAAATTGACGGTGGAGGAGACGCATAGGAAGGAGAAATTTCCTCTTTATGTTTGTCTCCTCCGTCGATTTAGTAGGCAACGCATCTGCAATTGCGGATGTCTATGCAGCTAGTATTAAATATGAACCTAAGACGAGAATGATTTCTGTTGCCCGAAATTACTCAGCCTAGTTTTCATATTGAAAATCTGACTATAAGTACAACACACTAGGACAAACGAACTTTAGCCTACTCTAAGTAGTTTTGCAAGAAAGTAAAGCTTTAAAAATTATGCTCAATGATTCGAGAGCGGTGAAGAGTCTCCAGTTTTCTATATAATCAGGCAAACACGGTTTGACAAACATTTGTTCAAACATTTGACGCGGACCTGTCTTACCCAAGTGGTTGGCCTTCTTGTGCGGTGGATCTGGTAGCCAGGGTCGCAGTGCGGGCGGCGCTAAAGCGGCTGCAACCAGCGCAGACGTTGGTGGCGACCAGCGCAGTGAGTTGTCTTCTACTGAAACAATTAAAAAACTCCTTAATGATTTACAAATAAAACAATCGAAAGTCATTGTACACAGTCCAGAGACAATAAAGAAGTACATAGACTAGACATAGTGACCATTTTTTAACCGGTAACTTCTTTGTAAGGTACTGTTAGTTGTCAAGTTTAGTGTCGCCTCATGTCTTTTTTTTACATGTTACAAAACATTTGACAAAATTACAAAAGCTCCTTCTTTTGTTGTAGTATAAACTAAACAGAGTTACAAAACAAAATATGTGATTTAGAGGATTATGTGAAAAACGTCTCGGATGAAGCGTCAACTATGCATCCTCTATATAGGTACTTTTAGAATCTTTTTAAGTTTTAAAAAATCAATTAAAACATACAGTCGAATGCGTCGCCAATGATCAGGTGGAGCGACAATATAGTAACGAAAGATATTGGAGACCTGGCCTCTCTCTCACCTTTTTACTATAGATAATGGGTAGTGTAATTTTACTCTGTAATAATTTATTACCCATAAAAATATTATCTGTTAATTTTACACACCAGCAATGAACTGGTTCAGTCACATTTGAAGCTCTTGTAAGTTCACTTTAATAATTAATCGATTGATTCGTTTGTTACTTTAGTCTATACTAGATTCCGCCCGCGACTCCGTTTACATGAGATTAAAAAGAACAAAACTGAGTAGTCCATGTATTCTTCCAGACTATCCTCTACACCTATGCTAAATGTTATCGAAATCCGTTCAGCCGTTTAGGCTACAAACTCTAACAAACATTCATCCATCTAAACTTTCTCTTTTATAATATTAGTAATATTATCTGAATTGGCGGTACTTTTACAAATGTACTAGAAGATCATTAGATAATTTATTACAACAAATATATGTGACTAAATATTTCACTATTTAATCACAATGAAGCTAATAAAATAACTATTGCAAATCACACCCTTTCATTTTAATAGCATTTCCATTCCATACGAGGGTTGGATTATGCAATGCTATTGCGAAATTGAACTTTAATCCTATGGAATAAGGTTTATTATTGTGGTAATTCTTTCCAGTAATATGATGAATCAATTAATAGATTGGTGGTCGGCAGTGAGGGCAGGATCTAATGGGATTCGATACGGATTAAGCAATTGTTGTAGTTAAGTAGCATTTCGCGACGCCATTTAATATCACTATATTACTCACAACTTTTAACTTCATACTAAACTAAACTAGATGTTCCCATGCGGCTTCATCCGCATGGAATTAAAAAAAAATCTGTTTATATTTCTGAAATTTTCAATTGCAAATGTCAAAATTACCGTTACCATAATAACCTTGTAGCTTGTAGTTTATTGTACTTTTATGAAAGTTTTTCCATTTTATTCAAACCTTAAGTTTGATAGTGTGAAAATATATAGCCTAAAGAGTAGAAGGAATTATTCAAAAACAACATATGTTACGATTGCTGACATCCTACGCCATGAAGTAGTGTGTGTTTACGTTTCATTACATTAGTATAGATATTGCTAATAGTATAGATATACTATTAGTATTTAATAATAACTTTCACCCGCAATTCCCATCGCGTGGAATTAAAAAAACAAAAGCAAGTAGCCTACGTTTTCTTCCAGACTATGCTCTACATGTATGCAAAAATCCATATCCGTTAAGCCGTTTGAGCTACAAACTCTAACAAACACCCATCCATACATCAAAATGTATAATACTATAACTAGTAAGAAGATTTTAAAAAGGATAAATGGATGGCTTGATGGATTTCGATGTTTGGCACAGATGTAGAATATAGTGAAGTTTTTTTTAAACCAAGAAGAAAGTTGCCCAAATGTTAGTAGATTTTAAGTCACTTCTCTTGCTTTGTATTCCATTTTGATCTGCTAGCTTCCTAATAGATATTTAGTTACGTTAAATGGCATGTAACCTTTCATATAACATCATGTTGAAACCTAACGGTATTGATTTTTTAATCTTTAAAAAAAAAACTTACATTTGAATAGCGCGCAATATCACGTTATTCGCGTAAATTATATAGCACAAAATAACAGTTATATAATAGCGTTATAAATAGCTGTAATAAAATATAGCGGGGCGTCGCGAAAATAAGGAGGACATAAAAAGGAAATTGTATAAGAGACATAAAAAGTTTCCTTCCGAGGAAATTGGAAGTCAGAGGCGAGGCCGACTGAATCCCGGTATTGAGATAAATCAATGTTTGTTTGAGAGTACGGCACTTATTGTGGCACAGGGTAAACTGTGGAGACGAATAATTTTTCCACTAGTAATTTTTTCGTGCAAACGTATATTTTCTATGCGTTTGTTTGTGTTAAATTTAATGAACCCAAGAAGTTTAGACGACGGAATCGTTTTTAACTTGTGAGTATTTTTGATAATTGAGGTTTTTTTTTTATAACATAAGGTAGCAAACGAGCAAGCGGCCACCTGAATACGCCAAAATGGCGAAGCGACCGCTACCCATAGACATCCGC